GGGGGGGGGTTGCCAGCATTCATCTAGTGTTCTTTTAAATGAATCAAGATAAAGATTAAGGTATTTCATGTAAATTTGTAAAAATTAATGTTGTGCATACAATGACCCTGAACTGGTTTTGGCACCTATTACTTTTATTCCTACAGTAGTCCCTGCCTGGCCACCCTATAACAAATTGCTGGCACTACAATTGACCAAGGGCATTTAGGCTCCGACAACATAGCTTATGGGATCATCCAAGCACTGAAACTGTTATGGTTTTTTTCGTTTTCAGTTATTTTATTTATTTTGTTTTAGTTACTCTGATTTGTTGATCTTTGCTTGTTTCCTTTCCCCCTGGCTTCCTTCTAGTTAGTTCCACTCACACCTGCTCCATATTCAGGTCATTAGTCCATTCTTTGTTTTGTTCCCCTTATATACAACAGCTCTGCAACTCTGCAGTCACTCAGTGTTTCCTTGTTGTTGTTAGTTGCTTCCCCGTCTCTGGCTCCCCACATTAGTTTTCCCTGATGTTTTTTTGGTACTTTGCATTTTTATGTTTTGCATTTTTGGATGTCTGCCTCAGTTACCCTATTAAATCAACAAGAACTCATCTCTGCTTCACTCATATCTGCTTTTCGGTCCTCAAGCAACTTCACCCCGATTGCTGGCAGAAACCCCTCCACCATGTTAAGGTTGCACTTCGAGAAGGGGCTAGAAATACTTAACTGAAAAAAAGGGCTGAACGTACATGGCTGAAGATAGAGAAGATGATGACTGCAAACAAAACAAACAGATGAAAGTTGCTCAAAATCCTTGTGATTTAGGAAATTACTTATACTGTACGAACTGAGTAGACATTCTTTAAAGATCATAGGTGCCAAGAAAAATATCTGGAGCTTAAGAAAAACAAAAACAAAATAGCTCTCATTTTTTCCTAATTAGATTCTGAAGGTTCAGATAACTCAGCATGTCTGGGATGGAAATTAATGTTGAGGAACTAATGATATATTACTAAGTCATAAACCAATGAATAATACAGTCCTTCATTAAGCACATCTTATGACTGCAAGGATTTCCTCATCAGTTTCCTTTTAACTTGGAGTTTCTGATCTTGCATGTCTCTGTTATTGTGTCAACTCAGTTCTTCATGGATTTTACACTTTTTGAACTTCTCAAGTTCTTTTTCAGAGTTTTTCACGACTGCTTTAGGCTATCTGATAATACTGTGCATGTGAACACATCTAACAGATGCAGTCTCTGAGCACCTGCTCATCTTCACCTTTAGTTAATACCCCTTCTTATTTTCTCCTATACACGGTGTCTGAGTATATTAAGCCTTATGGGGAGGATAAAGAGTTGGACACTAGGAGAGGGAGGCTGAGATTTATGACAAGTCAACAATTAATTTTCTCTGCTGTAAGATGGACCAGTGAGCAATAGGCTCAACGAAAAAAAAAAAAAAACTGACGTAATTAATCATAATTATAAGAAAATACACCATTGAAAATATGCCATAGGGACGTAAAAGGAAAAAATATGAGTACAAAGGGAAAAATATGGAGACATCTTTATAGCCTTAATCATTTTTCCCAAACTGCATGTCTTCATCACCGAAACCATGGAAAACTAGAAAAGCACTTTGAGGGAGCAGACCTCTGCTAAGTAATGCATTTTCCCCCAAATTGTGACTTATACCTATAGCTAAACTCGCATATGGTCTGGATCATTACCAAATTCAAAATAATTGTTCCTTGGCATGCAGTACACATCTTTTAAAAAGAGTAAGTTTTCAACAAACTGATCCTGCTAACAGACTAACAACGTTCCCTTTTTTCCAGTGAAATACCTTCAGACTTTTTCAGTCTGATCCTGAGGCTGTCAATAGTCCCTGCGGCCACCCTCTGGTTTCGTGAAGAACTGCTTGTTCCACAAAACATTCCTATCTACTAGGAATATTTAGTGCTATCTATCTCTCTCTAACAACGTTAGAGAAACATGAAAAATAAATCCAGTATCCAGATTCTGTTCTGGATCATCAGCAAAATTTTATGGATTTTAATGTTTTTTCAATACAACCCATGCATAGCTTTTAAAGTTCTCCTGTACACTGGCAGACACACAATTTATCCTAAAAACAAAGCCTCTTTGGTGGAGGTAAAAATAAGGCCGCATAAAGTGAATCTACAAAATAAGAAAAAAACAATGTTCTTCCACACCTAAAATATAAATTAATGAGTGTTGTTACAAGATCGGATATCACAAGTATTAAAGGTCACTAGAAGATTCGGTTTACCTCCTTATTTATTCTGAGGAAATCCCTTTTCTTGTCATCTCACAGGAACAAGACACTACAGCCTATCCATGCTAAGCAGCTCTACAGGAGATAAGGGGAAATGGCCATAATTCACTATTTACTGTACCTCAAACACACAGAAATACCTTCACCTACTGAAAGGGTGTTTTTGTTCATGACAGGTTTAATGGTGTAGTTTATGGGGAATAAAATATACTAGAATAAGACAGTTAAACTTGTGAAGATATTCTGCTCAGCTCAGCTGCTTCATTTTTGTTTTTTGTTTTGAACAGTAATGCATTATCTGACATGTTTGATATTATCATTCACTGGTTTTTATGGCTTTTGACTGAGTAACGTTATGCGGCTGCCTCATGGACACCCACAGCATAAAAGCTATTGGCATTGAAAGTGTTTAGGTTCTTTTTATATCCATCTCTTTCAACATCTGTGATCTATCAAGCAGTGAACAATGCACATTACTGTCTTTTTTGTTAGGGAAAAATGTTTTCATTGCTGTTAAAGTGTAGGAGTCACTACAATGTTGTTATGGCTTCCTTAATGTTTTAAAGGAATCAAGATATAAGTATGAAAACAAATTCAAAACAACCTGTTTATGGCTCTTATTGACATAAGATCACACTTAGGAATCCTTTTTGGCAGTGGTGTTTTTTGCTATGAAATGTATAGATTCTGCTTACCGAGGTATAGAGGTATCCTTCGCTGTTCATGGCGAGGTATAACCCTGTTTTTGTCCCCTGAATTGCCACAATCCGCAGTCCCACCGGAATTAAGTTGAACTGTGCTAAATTGGAGAATAAAGTATGAGACAGAGAAAGAGAATGCCAAAAAGACATAACAGAAAGTCAGAGGAATAACAGAGGATGTTGGATTCAAACTGGAATATTGTGTAGGAACACATTCTGTGTCTCCACTCTTTGCCACATTTCTCATAAGCCTGAAGGCTGTGACCTCTCAGAGTTCATGTTTATGGAAACAATACACTATGTCACCTTCATTGGGATTTTCACAGCCTCTAAACCTGGAACAACAACAAAAATAGCAGCAACTAAAAATACAGCAAACAGAAATCCTTGACACTTACACTGGCTGTATTTGAATGCATATTTATTTCAAAAATATAGAATAGCGGAAATAAAAAAGTATTTCCTCTTAAGAAATTTATGGTTTTCTATTTTTTTCATCAAACCTTTTTTATGTTTTAGATCCTTTTAATATAATACATAACGATAATCACATTGAATAAAAGCACAGTTGATCAAATATCGTTTAATTTGTTCAATTAAACAAAATTATCCAAGCCACCCCTGCTTGGAAAAGTAAGTGGCATTCAAACCTCAAACAACCAGTTATACCACCTTCAGTGATAGTGATTTAGAGATCTGATAAAGTAAAAGTAAAGTGTTTGACATAATGATCATTGTTAGATAATGAGGGAAAAGTAGGCAGGCTTTTGCACTATAGGACACCATCCCAACTTTGAAGTATGAGGGTGGCAGCATCTATATGGGTTTATTTTTCTGCAACAGGAACAAGTACAGTCCATGAAAAAGATGGCATCATGAGGATAAAATATTTGTTAAATAAGCAACTTTTCAAGACATCAAAAGGGGTGTTATTGCTGGAAGACATGTTTTCCAGATTTTTATTGTCATTACACTGTCACAAGTGCAGAGCAATGAAATTTACCTCTGCATTTAACCCATCCCCTTGGGGAGTGGTGGGCTGCCATTGTGCTGCGCCCGGGAAGCAGTGTGGGGTTAAGGGTCTTTGCTCAGGAACCCAGAGTGGCAGTCTGTGGGGGTGGGGCTCAAACTCAGAACCTCAGGATTTCAAGCTCCATGCCCTA